TCTGTCAGACCCTTATGTCAATGAAGTCTTCTGTTTAATTCACTGGGTCTCAGTGTAGGGGAAGCATTTGCTGGCATAGATCCCTGTGGACCAGGTCTTGTGTAAACTGATTTATCAACAGCAGCAGCCTACCACCGTCCAGCTGAGATAATTATAATTCTAGTATAGACCATGTGGCAACTAAGCAGCTGAATGCACTGAAAAGGCCTGCAGCGCTTGGTCCCACTCTGCCTGAGACCAAGCACGGTATCTGTACTTTATGTTTCAGAAACTATATTTAGAAAGTACGTGCAGGGATACTGCAGTTTGGATATTAATTAATAAAGATATGTTTGCTAAATAAATCAGTAAACATATTCTGAATATAGTTAGTGTTTTACATTCCCTCATGGGAATGTAAAACACTATTTAAAATAGAAAAATTACCATAATTGACAGAACACAAATGCTCTTTAATAATCTACTAGATTGCACCCTCAATGGAAATGCTCATAAATTCTATTTTAAGGCATAGTGTGTCAAGTGCAGGTCCCCACTCTGAACTCTGGGGTACAGATGTGGGGACCAGCTTCAGTTAAAAACTTCCCCAAGGTACAAACTTTGCCTTGTCCTTGAACAGTATGCTGCCATCACCAAGCGTTTTAACCAAAGAATAGGGAAAGAGACCACTTGGAGATGTCTTCCCCCAAAATATCCCCCCCCTCCAAGCCCTACAGCCCCTTTCCTGGGGAAGGCTTGATAATAATCCTCACCAATTGGTACAGGTGAGCACAGACCCAAACCCTTGGATCTTAGGAGCAATGAAAAAAGCAATCAGATTCTTAAAAGAAGAATTTTAATTAAAGAAAAAGGTAAAAAAATCTCCTCTGTAAAATCAGGATGGTAAATACCTTACAGGGTAATCAGATTCAAAACATAGAGAATCCCTCTAGGCAAAACCTTAAATTACAAAAAGACTCAAAAACAGGAATAAACATTCCCTTCAGCACAGCTTATTTTACCAGCCACTAAACAAAAGAAAATCTAACACATTATCTAGCTAGATTACTTACTAACTTAACAGAAGTTGGAAGGCTTGCATTTCTGATCTGTTCCTGGCAAAAGCATCACACAGACAGACAGAACCCTTTGCCCATCCACCCCCTCCAGCTTTGAAAGTATCTTGTCCCCTCATTGGTCATTTTGGGTCAGGTGCCAGTGAGGTTACCTTAGCTTCTTAACCCTTTACAGGTGAAAGGGTTTTGCCTCTGGCCAGGAGGGATTTTATAGCACTGTATACAGAAAGGTGGTTACTCTTCCCTTTATATTTATGACACTGTGCTTCACCTATATATCAGATGATGAATATTGAAATCCAGGTAAGCAGAAGTGTTAACAATGCAGATTTTGATGACTTCTACAGCAGACTCAACATTTGAAAGTTTGAAAACAAAGTCACTATCTTCCGCTCTTCAAGAAATTATGGAGTGAAAAAGTGGAGGCAAAACTAAATTCCCATGTGGTTTCTGAAGGATTTTCAACTCTTTCTCCTAAAAGAGTTAAGTAAAGTTGGACTAATTAAAATAATGCAACAATAGTGCCAACCTTGCACACTCAAAAATCAGGAGTCAGGCTCCCCTCAAAATAATGACACTTGCATAAAAAGAGAATGAGATTTTGACAAATACATTTGGGGTAGTTTCATTTACCTTCTGCTTTTTGAGCCTTTGGAAACATGAGACCCAAGCTTTTCTCCAAACCACAAGGCCTAGAATCTTCAATTTTATTTTAAAAACAAAAGTGGAAGTTGGAGTTTTAGGAAAAAGCCACAAATATTGTGATACTCATAATACAATCATGAGTGCTTGCAACATTGATTCCCCCCGCCCCCAAAAAACACATTATCTACCATTAAGGTAGTTCTAATGAAAATCCTACCAATGTAGCCACTTCAAAAAAAAAAAAAGGGGGGGGCGCAATAGTGAGGGGAGAGATACGTGAATGAAGGTTGCTTTAATGTGCAAACATCACACTCTGCAAATATTCTATTGCCCATTTCAACTGTATTTGTGCACCAAACTCCCATTGAGAATCTGGACAGCTGAGATTACCCATTTCCACAGCAAACTCCCTTGCACTTTTACCAAGTGAAATGCACACAGAAATTTCCTCTAAATAATATTCAAATGCACACTCTCCACTCTAATTTCATATTTTTATAAAGAAATAACACAGACCTTGGTAATACATAGAATGTGGATAAAATCCTGGCCCCACTGAAATGAATATGAGAATTGTCCTTCACTTCAATGTTATCAGGATTTCACCCTGTGCGTTCAGCTAGCTGTGGTCAGAATAAAGCTTGTGCTCGTTTGAGTGTCATTTAATATAATTTTGCACATATGTTGTGGAGGGGTGTTATAAATATAAAGGGAAGGGTAACAACCTTTATGTATGAAGTAATGAAATCCCTCCTGGCCAGACGTACAGAATCACTTTACCTGTAAGGGGTTAAGAAGCTCACATAACCTGGTTGGCACTTGACCAAAAGGACCAATAAGGAAAGAAGATACTTTCAAATCTGGGGTTTGGGGGAGAAGTTTTGTTTGTTCTCTCTCTGGGCAGAAAGGGAGAGAGAGAGACCAACCAAGCAGGTAAACCATCTCCTGAAAAGATACATCTAATATTACAGAAATTGTAAATAAAGGCAAGGAAATATGTTAGATTATCTTTTGTTTTAGCTTGTGAGTTTTCCCCTAAAGGGGAGTTTTAGTCCTGTTTTTTGTAACTTTGAAGCTGAGCGTAGAGGGGAATCCTCTGTGGTTTAAATCTTTTTATTTAGCCTGTAAAGTTACCTTCTAGCCTGATTTTGCAGCTGTGATTCTTTTATTTTTTAAAAAAAAAATCTCCTTTTAATAACCTGATTGATTTTCAGTGTCCTAAAAACGCAGGGGTTTGGTCTGTGCTCACTTTGTAACTAATTGGTTAGTATATTATTCTCAAACCTCCCCAGGGAAGGGGTTGAAGGGGTTTGGGGGAATATTTTCAGGAAACAGGGACCCCAAGTGGCCCTTTTTCCTGGATTTTTGTCTAAATCACTTGGCGGTGGCAGCAATATCATCCAAGGACAAGGAAAGGATGTGTGTCTTGAGGAAGTTTTAACCTAAGCTGGTAGAAATAAGCTTGGGTGAAGGGTTCATGTTTAGCTATTCCACCTGGAAGCAGGCAGGGCACACCTTGACTGTTCTGTAGAAGCAATGCACACATTGCTCTATCCAAGGACAAGGGCTAGATATGAACCATGAAAACTTGATAGTTGGGACAGTAACTGCGGGAGGCTTTCTTAGCCTGGGCTCAAGGCCTGAGAACCAGGATTGTAGTAGCTAAAAGATGCAACTAAGTATATTAATCAACGTCATACATTCTTTTGTGTATCTTTTTGCTGTAGCAGTGTGTAATGCTTAGGGGGGAGAAATATAATAAAAGGAGAAGGTGGAAGGCGGGGGGCAGAACGCCCATCTCAGCTGACCAGCCTGCTTTCTTGCAAAAAGCTGTGTTCTGTCTCATCATTGAACTGCCACAACTGGCGCCCAAACGTGGGGCCCTCAGCACTCACCTCGCCCGGCAAGGGTTTCAGACGCGTCACTCATCCGCTTCGTGGATCCCGGTGAGTATTTTTCATTGTGGTAAGTATGGGAAGCTCCCTCTCTGCTTTGCAAGTGCAACACCGCAATGAGCTGCAGTATTTGCTGCGTAAGGCTCAGCATGACTGCCCGGCTCGAGCACTTACTCTCCTGTTACAGGAGGTGCGTGCCCAGTGCCCGTGGTATCCTGAAGCCGGAAGCCTTAAGCTAACAGACTGGGAGCGATTGGGCCAGACATTGCACGAAGAGCCTCGAGCACCCGTGCAGGCTTTACATGCCTGGCACCTCTGTCGCGACGCAATACTGCGTGTCACCTCGGATAGGCCCTCTTTCACGAGGCTGGTGCTCTCGCCACGCCCGTCGGCTCCTGTAGCCATCCCCGTTGCAGCTATCCCCCCTTCTACTGATACAACCCAGTGTGTCACTTCGGAAAGACCCTCTCCCGCACCCACAGCCCCCCCTCTCCCTGCTTTGCCCCCAGTGTCTTCATTACCACCGCCTCCCTTGCCTTCCCCACCGGAGCCAGTGCGTGATTACCCTCCCTCCGTGGGGCCCCATGCTCCGGGGCCCCCCGGAGGGTCATCTGCATCTGCTCAGAAGCTTTCGCTGGTGCAACAAATGGTTCACGCGGCGAAAGCTCGATCAGATCTTACAGCTGAGGAGCTGGCTGATCTGCTCTCAGTTTGCCCGGTGACCTGGCAGAATGATGACCAGGGCAACCCCGTGGGCACCTGGACCACTTTGTCATACTCGGTGGTTAGAGAGGTGAGGAAAGCAATTCGTGAGTTTGGCCTGACTAGCACTTTTGTGCGTGGTCTTGTTGAAGGGATAGGTACTGGGTACTCCCTAGTCCCTGAGGATTGGAAAACGCTGCTGCGCATGATGTTATCACCTAGTCAGTATGTTATTTGGCTTAGTGAGTTTCGGCAGATGGCAGAACGCCAAGCTCAGATACACGCGGGGGCTATCATTTATGATCAATTGGTAGGGGAGGGCCAGTTTGCTACTATTCAAATGCAGTCTCAACTCCCTCAGGCCATTTTCCCCATTATTTCCACCTGTGCCCAGCATGCTTTCAAGAAGATCCCGGATTCAGGCAAGCCCACCAAAAGCTTTGTCAGTATCCGTCAGGGTGCCTCAGAGTCCTTTTTGGATTTTACCAACAGATTGCATGAGGCTATCCTCCGGCAGGTGGATAACACTGAGGCAGCTCACGAGCTACTGTTAAAATTGGCAGTTGAAAATGCAAACGAGGATTGCCGCCGTGCTCTCCAGGCAGCACAAGCCTCTGGTATTTTAGAGCTCTCAGACATGCTGCGGGCGTGCCAGAACATTGGCACACATGCCCACAAGGCTGGAGTTCTGGCTGCCGCCCTCAGAAAAACTGGAAAGGAGGGGGAGCGTTGTTACCGCTGTGGTAAGGAGGGTCATTTTCAGCGGGAGTGCCGCTCATCTAAGGCACCAGCCCGACCCTCAAAGAAGTGCCCCAAGTGTGGGAAAGGTTATCACTGGGCTAATCAGTGTCGTAGCGGGTCGGGAAACCGCGCGACGGGTCCCCCCCGAACCCAGGGCCAAACGGGGGTGTTTCCCACTCAGACAACCGCTCCTCTGCCTTAAAATCCATAGACTCTATGAGGGCGGCGACTGCTGGAAGTGCAGGGCTTGATTTGATCATGCAGGAGGACACTGACTTTCGGCTGCCAGGGGAGGTCTGTGCCATACCTACGCAGGTGACGGGACCTCTCCCTGCCGGCTTTGTAGGTCTTGTTCTCCCTCGCTCACATGCTGGAAAACAGGGTTTTTTTGTCATTCCAGGGGTCATTGATGCTGATTACACTGGCATTGTTAAGGTTCAGGTGTGGACTCATCTTCCACAGTCGCTCCCGCGTGGACGGTCAATTGCACAATTGATTTTAGTCCCCTATCAGGTGCCAGCTGCCGAGGATCGAACTCGGGGCGGAGGCGGCTTTGGATCGACGTTGTCTCACTCGCCGTCTCACAGCGCATCTTCTCCACTTGTTGCTCTGACAATGTCAGTCCGCCCCTCGAAACCTCAGTTAACACTTCTCTTAAATGATGTTCCCTTTACAGGGCTGGTGGACACTGGAGCTGACGTTACGGTGATTCGTGATCTGGAGTGGCCGGTTAGTTGGCCTACGGTTCCTTCTAAAGAATTGTGGGGGATCGGGGGTAGTAAACCCGGGCGCCAAAGCTTGTCTTGGGTCACGGTCTCTAAACCGGGAGGCCGTACCCTTGCTACTATCCGCCCTTTTGTGCTCCCAGTCCACCTTAATATTTGGGGCCGTGACTTACTTACAAAGTTGGACACCACCCTCGATATTAACATCTGATGGCCCAAAACCCTCCCTCACCCACCGTGCCCTCCGCATTACCCTTGGTGTGGCAATCCTTAGAGCCCGTATGGATTGACCAGTGGCCCCTCCCTCTAGAAAAGCTAAAAGCACTTCATTCGCTTGTGCAGCAGCATTTGCAAGCACAGCGACTGGAGAGCTCCACTAGTCCCTGGAACACCCCGGTGTTTGTTATTAAGAAAAAATCGGGTGCTTGGCGGCTGTTACATGACTTAAGGGAGATAAATAAACGAATCCAACCTATGGGCCCCTTGCAATTTGGCTTGCCAAATCCAAATTTAATTCCTCAAACCGATCAACTTTGTGTGTTAGATTTAAAAGATTTTTTTTTACCATCCCCCTTTGCCCTCAAGATCGTGAAAAATTTGCATTTACGGTGCCACAATATAATAATCAGCAACCCTCTCAAAGGTATCAGTGGAAGGTCTTGCCCCAGGGAATGCAAAATAGTCCAACCTTGTGTCAGCTTTTTGTGGATCGGGCCCTTGCCCCTTTTCGTGCCCGGTACCCTTCGCTAAAGGTCTACCATTACATGGATGACATTTTGCTAAGTGGTCCCCGGGTCACGGCACAACAGCTTGAATCTTTATCTCAGATTCTCGGCCAAAATGGCCTGTTAGTGGCACCAGAAAAAATCCAACGCTCTTATCCCTACCACTACCTCGGATATAAGGTTTTACAAACCTATGCTGCTCCGGTTCGTCCGGAATTAATTCTACCTCAACCCCTAACCCTTGTTAAATTGCAACAGATCTTGGGTCATTTAAATTGGATTCGGCCCTACTTTTGTCTCCCCACTTCCATGCTGCAGCCGTTGTTTGAGCTCCTCCGTGGAGCCCGGGCACCGGGTGCAGTTATTGCCATCACTGAAAAGCATACTGCCTGCATTCGACAAATCAATGCAGCATTGAGTCAGCAGTTTGTGGACAGACTCCCAGAGGTCCGTCCCTTACGATTGGTTCTTCTTGCCACCCCTCATACGCCAACTGCGGCTCTGTTTGTACCCCGTACAGACACAGCCGTCTCTATTATTGAATGGCTATACCTTTCATCCACCCCTCCTCGAAATATTTATCCGTATTTAGATGCCCTATCTGATCTTGTTCGTAAAGCCCGCCACCGTGCAGTGCAACTCACTGGCACTGATTTAGTTGCTATTGTACTCCCCTTGTCCCGTACTGAATTTGACTCTTTGTGCCACACCTCCTTGGCCTGGCAGGTTGCTCTTTGTGATTATGTGGGAGAGATTTCTTACAATCCTCCAAAAGATCCTCGGTTGGTCATTACCCAAAAGGTACCCCTAGTTGTTCATCGTCTTAGCCGCTCTCAACCCATTGTTTCCGCTGTCACTCTTTTTACTGATGGCTCTCCCCACCGAGGTGTAGTCACTTATCAGTTGGGTGACCCCCCTCGTTGGCATTCTCGTTTTACCCTGCCTCAGCGTTCTGCACAGCGTTCAGAATTGGCTGCTGTTATTTTGGCCTTTCAACTTTTTGCTGATTGTCCCTTTAATTTAATTGTGGATACCCATTATGTTTATCAGGTACTTGATCATTTACCCCTTGCCCTCATTACCCCTCAGGTGGATGCAGACCTCCTTCGCCTGTTTTTGTCTTTGCAGCATCTTCTTGCCACTCGTCATTTCCCTTACTTTGTTGCTCATATTCGCAGTCATACCCCTCTACCTGGGCCACTCACTGAGGGCAATGCACGCGCCGATCGCGCGTTGCGTGGTCAGGTAAATTCCCTTTTTTCTGACCCCATTGAAAGCCATGCCTTTTTTCATCAGTCTGCCTCTGTTTTGGCCCGGCAGTTTCACATTCCTGCTGATCATGCACGTTCCATTGTTCGTTCCTGCCCCCACTGTGCTGCTGCTGCTCCTACCTTTTCTTATGCTGTTAACCCCCGAGGTACCGCAGCAAATCAGCTGTGGCAAATGGATGTTACTCATGTGCCACAATTCCGCCCCTATTCGTTTTTACATGTTTCCGTTGATACTTATTCGGGCTTCCTTTGGGCAACCCCACAACGTGGGGAAGCCACTAACAAAGTTATTCACCATTTGCTGGCCTGCTTTTCTGTTATGGGTCGCCCCTGCCAAATTAAAACAGATAATGCCCCAGCCTACTGCTCTGCAGCCCTCTCCACCTTTTGTGCCCTCTGGCACGTCCGTCTTAAACACGGCATCCCTTATAATTCCACGGGCCAAGCCATTGTTGAACGTGCCAATCGCACACTCAAAACCTTGCTGGACAAACAATTAAAACAAGGGGAGCTGCGTCTCCGAACCTTAGGAGATATTCAACAACAAATGCATATCCTCTTGTTTTCTTTAAATAATTTAACATTGAATGCAGATCAGCAGACCCCTGCGGATCGGCATTTTCACAAATCTGAGGTACTGGAAAGACCGCGTGTCTTTTATCGTCAGCTGCCCGATCCACAGTGGCTGGGCCCAGTACCTCTAATCACTTGGGGTCGGGGATATGCTGCTGTGTCTCTCCCTGCAGGACCGTTGTGGGTTCCAGCTCGGTGTGTGCGACCGGCACTTAAACAACATGGCATGGCACCAGGGACTGTCGAATCCCATACCAGAGTTTCAGCTGACCTTGGAGGAGACCGCGTTGCCCCCCGAGTAGACAACGACGGGACGGAAACGGAGGAGGCGTAGTGTCCCAAACCGGCCCGTGACATGGGGAGCAGTAAAAGCATTGGTTGCCGCGGCCCAACGAAGGCTGGCAGCAGATCAACAGCCAGAGACTCCTGAGACTTTGTTTGTGGCGATTCTTGCCCAAATCACTGCTAATTCTGTGATGATTGTGTGCCTTTTGTGCCTGCTATTTCCTGTAGGGGTTGGCTCGGACGCGCTTCCCCCGCTACGAGCCCGAATGACATATAACATATGGGAAAGATTGGCTTCAATAGCAAATGTTACCCACTTTTGTCTATCTAATTCTGTAGCAGCCGGAGATTTGTTAGGTACATGCCTTATTCCAGTATGTCATCACCCTGAGGAGATGGAGAATAAGACACTGTTCTCTGCTTATGCGAATCTTTCCTCCCAGTATTCTAGCATGGCTAATTGGGGCCCAGCCAATTATACTCTGCCTCGCACGGCTATATCCCTCCACACACCGTACCCGGCCGGGGCTCATAATGTTACTTGTGCGCGTATAGTTAACTGCACTAGTACAAAGGTGCCCTTGGGCTGTCGAAAAATTTCTCAACCCCTTTTAAATTGTTCCCATGCTGTTAATGTTTCATATAATTATGGCCATATCATCCTACCATCAGGGTGGTTTTTTACTTGTGGCTCTCGCACCTTTAATTATATTCCTGCAAATTTAAGTGATGGCACCCTTTGCTGTCTTAGTAGAATGACCCTTATATTGCCTTTTGCTGGACAAAATCGTAGTAAAAGAAGTGTACCCCTTTCAGATGATTGTATTGCAGATGTTGAGCTTTTTAGTCGTGCTGAGTATATTGCTTTAGCGGCCTCTATTGTTGGGGTCCCCGCGCTTGCCACATATTCAGCCAGAACTTTAAATAACCTGGCATGCTTTGCAGCAAAGGCAATTAATACAACATCCCAGGCTATTGCCTTACTTAACACAGAACAACACGAATTAAGAGATGCAATTTTGGATAACAGAGCAGCCATTGATTTTCTGCTCCTAAAACACCATCTAGGCTGCTCCACATTTCAGCACATGTGTTGCTTTAATTTAACTGATAATAGTCGCTCCATAGAAACTAGACTGGCTGAATTGGCCAATCTTACAACACACATACGCCAAGATCTGGGGTTTGAGGGCTTTTGGAATTGGCTTACAGGTTGGCTGCCCTCTCTAGAATGGCTGCGACAGCTTTTTGGTTATTTTGTGTTTGTAATTATTGGGCTTATTTTTTGCTGCTGCTGTGTACAATGTATTCCTTCCTTGTTAAGATTTTGTGAAATTTTGCCCTGGAAAGCTCCCCAAGTTATGTCCTTGTCTGTCTGGGAGTTAAATAGCATGACAAAACAAATTGACGGCTACAATGAGATGGCCAATTATCATTAAATAAAAAACGGGGGGATGAAGGGTTCATGTTTAGCTATTCCACCTGGAAGCAGGCAGGGCACACCTTGACTGTTCTGTAGAAGCAATGCACACATTGCTCTATCCAAGGACAAGGGCTAGATATGAACCATGAAAACTTGATAGTTGGGACAGTAACTGCGGGAGGCTTTCTTAGCCTGGGCTCAAGGCCTGAGAACCAGGATTGTAGTAGCTAAAAGATGCAACTAAGTATATTAATCAACGTCATACATTCTTTTGTGTATCTTTTTGCTGTAGCAGTGTGTAATGCTTAGGGGGGAGAAATATAATAAAAGGAGAAGGTGGAAGGCGGGGGGCAGAACGCCCATCTCAGCTGACCAGCCTGCTTTCTTGCAAAAAGCTGTGTTCTGTCTCATCATTGAACTGCCACACTTGGGGGTCTTTCATGTGGGTCCCTACATCTGTACCCCAGAGTGGGGAGGGAACCCTAACAAGGGGGATGAAGGTAGCCTCAGGACTTTGGGGTCAGCAAGGTTCTTTTCCCCCTGGCAGCCCTTCAAACTGTCTGGAATCACATAGCAAGTTGACTTTTCTGTTTTGTATATAAACAATCAAAACTTAGCTAAAAATGTTGTTGACATGCAAGCTTGAATAGAATATTGCTCCTTCTCATAGAATTTTGTTGATTCTGCTGTAATAATAGGGAGAAACAGTGAAAATGTTATTTTATTCAGGAAATTAATCAGATATTATTCTGAATCACACAGGGAGGAGTTCTGTTGAGTAAGAAGGTTCCTTTTTTACAGTCACTCATGAATGCTAGATTTTCTTCTTTTTCATAAGAAATGTTGCCAATGGATCTTTCAAGTTTCATGAGGTGAAGATACTTGGATTGACACCACCAAAACATTTTTCCATCTTGAATTCAGGAATCCCATGGCCTAATTAGTTATAGGTAGGGATAGTAGATTTTTTTCCCTATCAACTGTTTGACAAAACTGGTTTTTAAATTAAATGTACGGTTTTTTTTGTGAAATTTTTTTGGTTTCTGTGGAAAATGTTGATATTTCATTGAAAGATGAAAATAACATACTTTGGCTGAAAACCACAGTGCCCCATGAGAGTTTAATTCTGTTGTCCCATGTCCCTATTTGCTTCTGTGGGTCAGGCTCTTCGGCCACACTTCAACCCCCATGATTCACCATTGCCTGGGATGTCCACGGCGCAGTGTTTCCACCTCCAAAAGGGGAGACCGTCGTGCTTCATGGGAGACACAGTCTGACCATCTAATTAAAATGAAACCCTGTCCCATTTGACTGAGTAATCAAGAAAATATACCTTTAATTTTAGTTGACAATTTATATATTAAAAGATCAGACTTTAATGCTTCATATCTATGGTTCTATCTGTCCTGTGTGCATCACCATGATGTATTAAAAAGTGTACAGGTCATAGTTTCTCTTCGAGTCAGCAGGGATTCTTAACATGTTTCAGACATAACTGTATAGGAACTCTTTATATATTTGTAATTAACTAAAATTAACTGTATCTTTATTACATAATCACATTTTGATAACAGTTTTTGATGGAATGTCTGATGATATTGCCTAGGTTTTTCAAAAGATAAATATGTTAAGAGGAAATTGAAAACTATTTGAGTGGACACTACTCAAATACATAATGAAATCTAATTTTGGGATATACGTCACATACATTTTTTACTATTCTCCTAAATTAGGCAGTCTTCACTGAACAGTAGCAAAAATTACTTAAAGTTATACTATCCATCTTAAACAGTGGTTTTCAGGGAAAAGGTCAAAGGGTGCCTTTTTAGTGAAGCCAGAATTTAGCTTCTTACTCCAGGGAGTTTCAGGGCTGAAGCTGTTCCAAAACTGGTGACAAATTCTCCCCCCCCCCCCCGTCTCTCTCTCTCTCACACACACACACACACACACACACACACACACACACACACACACTTTGAAATAAGAGGGGAGCATATTTCCCCTGATGTTCTCCTCATACTCCAAAGTAGCTGAGCTGTCTGGTCCAAGCCTTCTTCACAAATTCAACTTCACGCAAAACCAAGCCAGACAGTATGATCCTGAAGTGTGAATTTTGGAAAGTTACAAGTAACTGAAAATGAAATTTCTGCAACCTCTACTACAGTGCTCACTGCTGCTCCTAACGTAACCAAATTGTAATATATCAATATGGAGTTAAAACTATCTCACTGACTCAAAGATATGTGAGAAGATCTATTTTAGTATCCTGGTGTTTTCTACTCAAATGAACAACATTTCTGAAGACAAACAATTATCTATGACAGACAACTGTAGCAGTTACTAGGTATTCAGCAGTGTCCTTTTTAACATAATTCAGTGAAAGGAAGACTAATGGCATATGAAGAATGCTATCATCAAAAACACAATTTCCCCCTAAGAAACTCAAAATCAAATTTGGGTATAAATATAAAATGGTGAGCAATTTAAACCTTCAACCTGATCCTGAGGCAACTGTCTACTCTTTGAGATCTCCAAAACAGTATTTAATAATCACATACTGACTTTGTGTATTGAAAAATGACAAAATGTTTAACTTAAAGTAAAAGCTTCTAAGGAGTAACAGTGACCAAGACATCAGTCTATATCAAGTTCCCAAATTAACACATCTACAGTAGCTTCTCAAAGCTCTTATCCAGAACACCAAGAGTCAAATCCTACCCTGAACTGCATACTCCTCATCATCTTTGATTTCAAAGAATTTATGTTGGTAGGGCAGGATTTTTTTCCGAGTATAGAGCATTCCAGAATTTCTAAATAGATTTCAGCTTTCCACAACTTCAGGCACTGCTAGTCAGCTGGAGCACAGCAGCTCCATGGGGCCAAATTCAGAGAAGACCTCAGTGTTAGTTGTATGCTGTTAAATTCATATGAATTTCAGTGGGAGTATGAACACAACTTACAATTAGTAGCAAAGGGACAAAGTTACACCAGGTTAATAGCAAACAAGTTAGTGTAAAAATTATGGTTGCTTTTCCTGCTACACCTTTGCCTATCTGCCCTTTAGCATGCAAGTTACCCTTTATAATTTAGATAGTTTAGATCAGCTTTCTATCACTAATTTATGCCACTTCTGAACTTGGCCCAGTGTCTTTTTTTGGCTCACGTGCCTACATTACAAAATCCATTTAACTCAGTTGATGCTTTACAATATTTTGCAAAGCAAACTAAACCAAACCCCAACTTTCTTTCAGTGAGTTGAGAGGTTTCCAAATGATTTGGGAGACATGGCTGAACTTTTTACAAATATTAAATGTTTCTCCAATGGGTCTGCAACCACCACCAAATTTCAGATTTGAAAACACATGGTTCTGCGTGGTGACATGTGGCACACACTTAGACAATGCAATCGGTGGACACTTCAGTAAAACAAAGGAACACATTCATGTATTGTTTCCTGTTTTCAGTTAATTTGTCAAGATACTCAAGTACAAAGCAGTGGTATTTTTCTTACTTTAGTTTGGCAATTGTTTTCCATACACATAAGGGCTGCTAGAACAGCCTTATTTTAGTAAACTTGGACATTATGAAAATTGTGCTTAGTGCACCATAAAACCACCTACCCTAACTAGGTAGAATATTATGGCCTTATCCAACCTTGCTTCAAAAACTTGTAGATAAGGTGCCCCAGCTACCTCACCAAGCAAACTCTTTCAATTGTCTTTCTGCCAAAGCACTACATTTAGCTTTCTTTGTATTTTTTTCTTTTTTTTTACTTCAGCCTATTGCTCCCCGTTGGTGTCCAGCACAGAACTGAAGTAGTTCTTCCTGCTAAAATGTTCAGTGCACACCAATGAATTAGACTCTAAGCCTCCTGGTGAAATTACGGTAGAGAACATCCAAAATAGAAACAGTGTGTTTCTCCTTTTCCCTATGCCCCCTGCATATCATCCTGGCTGGAGCAGAATGAGAGGAAGAAATGGCTTACTCAAGCTGGATAAACTTTCTGAATAGTTCAGCCTACTGCAGAACTTCTGAGG